AAGCACAACAACAAAAAATATTGCTATGAGCAGAAAAAAAAGGTTTAAACACATTCGAAGGAACGTACAGTGGACATACAAAGGAAGAGACATAAACAACACGGAACATATTCAAAATATCAAAGGAAGGCAAAAAAACACTAAGGTCAACATCAAGAAGGCAGTACAAAAGGATATGATGTACACACACGTATCACAGCCACGCACTAGGGACTCAATGATGCTCATACACTGCGGCCAAGGATTTAAGAATCAGAGGGTAGACATCATCGCTCCAATAACAATAGTGATCGCCAGGCATATATACCTACTCATCACACGATCATCAGTATCAAGCCTGTAGTTAAACACGGACTAAAACCCTAAAACAAAGAAAACACCACACACAACACTATACCACATGCGACGTTGTCTACATCAGTGACCCTCCAAAGCGTCGCCAAAAGAAGCTGCTCGATTAAAGTGTAAATTCCCCGGTGGAGGTTTTGACGCCTGACTACAGAAGGTACTAACTTCTCCACAGGTCGTTGTTCATGCGATTTGTTGTTGCCTCGTACTTCGTACTAATATACTACTACCTTTGCACAGGTCCGGATGAACGTTACCGCCACATGATGCCGAAACACGAGAGGTGAATTGTCGATTTTATGTGCATGAAGTTGATTGCGTGTCAAGAGGTGGGCTCGTCATGTGTGTGCATCGTTACTAACTCGTACTAGGTCATTTGCAGGTTCAGCGAAGATATTGGGAACACCTCTTTTACTTTTGGCTATTGGTAAGTTGCTTTCGACTTTGATACGTCCAATGTTGGTTTCAATTTGTATTCCTTTTTTTTTGCAACATATTAATAGAAAGACAATTGTACAGGTTACCTGCTGCTATGCAATTGGAGTGAAGGTGCGACAATGCTACGAGGTAAATAATGTTTCGACCGCATCTTAATCATTTAGTGTTTGCAGCTCTACTTTCCCTTTTATATATTTTGCTGACTATTTGTTCCGTTTTCTTTCGCCGCTGTATGTACCTCGGTGAGTCGAGCACGGGGGACCACTGGATGTGACCTTGGAGTCAGGTAAGTTGTTGCGGTCAGGTATGTTGTATGGTAGAGAACCAATGATACAACGTGTACGTGTAGACACGAGGAACGCCCATAGAATGGTGATAGAAAGTGAACTACGTCGACGAAAATATTATCATGTACCTAAAAGAGATTTCTTGTGATATCTTTGTACGTCCGCAGCATGAAAATGTCAGCATTAAAAATTAAGAAGTAGTTGTAGGGTTTATATTGCCCATTTATCTTTTCTTTATCGTTTTATACGCACATGCTTTTTATATGGTTAGACACTTTGTGCAACACCTATAATTCTAATTCTAATTGAGTAAAAGGGGAGGGAAGAAGTTATATCCTAATATTTTATATACATTCCTTAATAGATATTGGCATTTTGAATATGAGAGATTAAGTGTGCATTTTATTTGACTATATGCCTGAAAGTGTAGTTCGTACTAGTAGTTTTTAAGTCCATAATAGTAGATTCAGGTATGTTGCTGTTTATAGATGCTGTTTACTGTTAGCAACAATGTGTATTACTGATTTTTACTAATGATTGTCGAATGTGTAGCGAATAGTGAGTAGAATGTTAAATGGATATTGTATATAGTGGGTTGTTTCGTAAGTGGACTTTGTTGATACGTACAAAACAAGATGGTAATTTTTTATCCTGTGGTTTGGGTGGGTCTGCATCTACACGTACCGAGGACGGGATAAGAGGAGATGAGATGATATCAAATCGAATTTAGTCGAATCCACAGTTACGCCCCGCACTGCACTCAACCCGCCCCGCTTTGAACCGGTATTGCTTATCCGCCCCCGCCTTTGTCTATCCGCCTACACGCTCCCCCAATCTTTACCTATCCGCGGCCTTGCCCCCTGCCTGCCTTTTACGGTACCCTATCTATGTTTCCCTTATCGGTATTTTTATATATCCATGTTTTCTATAGTTATATACCAACGTCTTTGTTTTTGTCAAATGTATAGATATAGTATGTTAGGTTTATAATTTTTGTTTTCCTTATCCGCTGAGATCTGTTTTACATTGTACATTTATATATGGTAGGATATTTCAATTCCAATAGTATAGGGTTGTCTATATAGTTATTTATTACGCAAGATAGCATCTATCATTAGTCTTCACGGCTGACTTTCGCAGGAGAGCCATCCGCTAAGGGTTTTGATTGTTCATCTTTTGAGGTTTTGTGAAGATAATGAATATCAAACTCTTGTCTGTCCTATTGTATTTTTTGCACGGGTTCCAGTTTCGTATTTGTTTTTACCAGATCTGACTTGTCGCGCATCGTTAACTTAATGCATAGCAGCACAGTCACGATCTATATACTCATATCTACATATCAAGGTCTTATTTTGTGTGAAATACTCCTACAAGTAACGCAGAACTCCTTCTAAACATCTGAAGAAGTGGATAACCATATAGTATAAGAGTTCTATATTGTTCATCTGTATATACATTGTGTCCATATAATTTTTAAAACCCTATAATGTACAAATATATTTATGGATAATTATATGAATGATATATTTAATATTATATTTATATGAATGATATATTTAATATTATATATATATTAAGGGTAAAGGATAACGAGATTCCCATTGTACATGGTAGTATATATATTTCTGTATCTCACAGTGGGGCATATTTTTTTAGTTAGGGTCATATATGATGTTGAGTAGAGGTTAAAGGGTAGTTGTCATCTATGACACTATCCGCCTGTTGCACACTACGTGCGCAGGTCCGCCCAAACGAAGAGAAATTATCGTCTTGCACGATACGGCTTTCAGCCGAATATGCTACCAACAGTTCTGTTTGAGATATGCACCTTAGTGCGTTCACCAGTTCTAGGATGATGGAGTGGACGAAGCTGACGAGTTGATAGTGATCTAGTTTCAGTTCCTGAGGTAGCTTGGTGAATGCTATTTGCTGGCGAAGGTGTTTGGATCAAAGCGATGATGGGCCCGGTTGGAGAAAATTTTAAAAAATTATGAGAGATAATAGTTGCATATAAATAAAAAGAGTTGGAAAAATTTAATCAAAGTGTCAAATTTCATAGCCTGTTCAATTCAGAAGACCATGAGCAAATTATACGTATAAATATATACATATTACATATACATATACATACAGACAATATATACATATATATATATATACATATTGTCTGTATGTATGTAAATATGTAATGTATTTGTATACATATATATATTTATTTATTTATATATATATATATATGTATAATACGCCATGGTAAATAATATATATATATATATATATATAGTATACATATATATATATATATATATATATATATATATATATCTGCGTGTTTTTTTTTTGTGTGTGAGTGCATGATATATGTGCATATATAAAAATATACAAATATTCTTTGTAAATGTTGATATCCGAACAAAAAATATGAACATAATAATTTCATATATTTACATATATATATTGAAAAGTAGTGGTATATAAATATATTTGTCGTGTCCGTTGAAAATACTGTGTACATTGAGAACAATACGTGTCGCTTCACATGCAGTCGAATGCGATCACTTAAACTATCACATACCATATAGTGCTCTATACTATATTTGAAAACTTCTTCATAGTACTTCTTCTCATCCTTAACAATACGTCTCACAAGGTTTGACTTCCAGCGGAGTTGGTTTTTAATGGAGTATCTATGAACGTGCTTTTCCCAATCCGAGACGGTGACACTTTTCTTCAGATGCTGTGGTAGAGAATCGTACGTCAATTTGGATTGTACGAAACCATCCAGCTGGCTCGCAACTTCAGCAGTTCCGACCATGTTTTCAGTGGTGTCCAGAAAACACTACAAGAGATCGTAAGCTGATATATATTCGAACGGCGATACATATACTTAAAAATATTTGTTTCGGTGGTGCAAGGCCAAGACCGGATCAACGGAATGTGTTATTTAAACTTCATGATGTATAAAGTAGTCATGTATTTGTCATTTTATGTGTAGTAGACGTAGTGTACATAGTAAAAATTTACATATATTAATATATTATGGGGGGGGGGGGGGGGTTAAATACATATTTATTAGAAACTAAACATTAGGCTCTACTACATACTAAAGTCTACAACTAATCTACATACATATTTACTGTTAACTGGACACGCCGGGAGTTGGTGACTGAAAGCGCTAAATTTTGTTAGAGCCATTTCATATAATACCGAACTGCTATCAAAATTGTAATTTATGGGCTACAAGTTTACAACAACAGAGCTCCTCGACGCCAAACTCAAAGACTACGCATTTTTTTATCAGTTTTTATTGGCTGATATGACATTCGCAAATCACAACTGGCCTTTCTTTATTGAAAGGGGTCTTTATCAGTGTACAACAAAGTGGCAAGCAATCGGACAAACGGACAGAAAAGCGGAGGGACTTCCACTGTTCCAGACTTCCAGCAGTCAGCCCTCTAAACTCAGTCTAAGGTCAAATAAAATGTCTGATTTTTAAATACTCTCTGCTAGAGTAGAAGGCACTCGGCTGACTCGAGTCCTCGACTGTCTTCCACACTTTTTTGTTTTTTTTTTATATCACTGCCAAACGCTTACAAAATTACAAACCCGTAGATTTTTGGTATTTTCAGTACATACGTACATTTTGTACCAGAAATGATGACACACTTTTTTTTTTTAAACCACACTATCATATTGACCACTAAAGGTAAATACAAATGTATGTATGTACAAAGTCTTAGATGATGAGTCATATCAAGCCCCCGGAGAGTCGACGAAACCTGAAAAAGTGAAAATTGAACAAAACTCAAAAGTGGTGTACGTATATTGCATAATAAAATGTTGGGTTGTATAATAAAATGCTGGGCTTTTAGGATTGAGTTTTTAATATATATGTACTTCAAGTGTCTTCAACTCGGCCAATCACAGGAGAGATATTATTTTTACTGTGATTTGTAAAGAAAAATTTTGAAAACATAAATACAGATTTTGAAATATAGAGGTGACAGTTGCACACAGTCTCATATCTGTGTGTGAACATGAGAACAAGAACACCGCTAGACAGGATAGTTGGCGGCATATGTGCATTTGCCCTTGGAATAACAATTTACCACGTCTACTGTAGTGGTAAGCATCAATTCAGAAGCGGTCGAGCGGTACTAGATCTGTATATATTGTCCGAACACGAGTTAGCAGGGCAGCTGAAGTTGAACGCACCTGTCGAACCGCCACTAGAGAAATCAATAGCGGTGAACAAGGATGCACAGCAATTCCGTGGATTAGAGAGTGAAAACAAAGTTGCTGTTAAAGAAGAGAGCAACGATACAAATATCCTCGACAATTTAAAGTATGAGTGGTTTCACCCGTCTTCGCGACATTCACATGCACAATGGGAGGAAAGGGAGGATTGGACAAGTCTACGAAGTAGCCTACCTAGGATTGTTGTTTCTTTCACTACTACACCCAATCGTATCAAATTCCTCTATCGAGTATTACACGCGATCAAAGCACAAGATCTTCAACCCGACGCAATATACATCAATGTTCCAAAAGTGTCTCGAAGAACTGGACAAGAATACGTCGTCCCAGACTGGATTGTGAAGCATCCAAACATTACCGTAAATATTGCGCGCATAGACTATGGACCTGCGACGAAGCTGTTGCCCACTCTAGAGATAGAAACCGACCCAGAAACGATTATTATTGTGATTGATGATGACGTGTCGTTTGCTACAACACTCTTTTCTAGACTGGCTGAATGGTCGATCCGGCTACCGTCAGCAGTGATTGGGGGTGGAACGGGTCTGAATGTGACTTGCATAATTCATGAAGAGAAAGACTTCCACAAATACTCAGTTACGCGCGAAACATGTCAACACAATACGTATGCTGGATTTTTCACATTCATTCGATCGTATAACGAGTGGGCGTGTATGCCGGGCGAGCAGATGCTCGTAGAGTATGGACGTGTTCATTGTGTTGCTGGGGTCATGGATTTACCCCTGGCAGTCGATATAGTTGAGGCGCATGAGGGTCTTGCGGTCAAAAGAGGATTTTTTGATGACAGTATATATGATTTCACCAAACTTCCGGATGGCAGTCACTTGCGCGATTGTTTTTTCAGAGTCGATGATATTTGGTGGGCCCAGCACTTCAGTCGGAAGTCGATACCCAGATTTGTTGTGCCGGATATTCCCTTGGAGCACCTAGGTATGGAACGTATTTTTAAGGGTCGTGTGAAGTTGCCCTTTGCAGACATTAGCGACTGGCCGACTGAAGAAGTCCCAAATATGGACGCGATCGACTCACTTCACAACCAAGATAGTAGCGGCTCACTTAGTAGTGTGCAGTGCAACGAACTGGCTATTAAGTACATAAACGGCACAAGTGGGTGGGGCGATTTTCCTAGAGAGGAAGAGTACGTGAAGGATACCCCACAACAGTATGATGATTACCTAAAGAAATTTTTAACGGAGAAGAACTACAAAGAGTGGAAAATTAGGATGTCCTTGACAAGGGAAGACTACGAAATTCGCAGGCATCAGATGGGCTGGATTTAAATTAATTTTCACAGCCTTCTAAATTGAATCATAATTTCATAGCCTACTAAATAAAACAATAATTTTGTTGTCTTAAATACAAAATGGGGTTTCTTTTTCAGTTTTGAGTTTTCTCTCTCTTCTTTTTGTTGTTTTTTTTTAAAAACAAAACAATACCAAAACAATATTCTCTTAAACCATTTACAATAAATAGCCGAAACCCCGTAATCCCGAAGGCTTCGAAGCCCGATTGCCCGAAGCCCGAAGCCCGAAGCCCGACTAAATACTAGAAATTCAAATGTTTGTTAATTTTTTTAAAAACAAATAATCAAGGGCCATCGACCGTTAGTTAGTTCGACCTAAAAAAATTAGGCCCCGTGCGACTCAATAAATATTTTGTTTTTTTTTAAATAAAAATACATATGTATGTGCAGTCATACCTCTTCATATGTCCAGTTCCCGGGATTGGCAAATATTTGGACATATAAAGAGGTAAGACAAGTCTGGGTCAGTTTCATACCATCAGGTTCGGGGTCCAACCTACGGGAGTATGGGTCACACCAGAAGGAATTCTAGCGCTCTCATTAAATACTCCTTCCCTTTCGTGTCGATCAAGCCCTGACTTACACTAAAACCAGCTTCTCTAACCTTTCTGACTCACTCAATCAAGCGCTTCTCGAGCTCGTGATGTGTTCCTCTCCTTTCTCGATATTTCTTTTTGCATGTACCTGATAAGACTGACTGAGTATCTTCACTCCGGACTCCATGAGCCTTCGTATCCCCTACGATAGTTGTCTTTCCATGATAGGTCTAAGCTGTATTCCGCTTTCTAGATTGTACGCACGTTGACACCTTTCTTTATCTTTGTTTGTTAGATTGATTATTTTTGTTGTATTGGAGCTCATCTTTTATAATACAGTCTATTTATATGTTTTCTTCTTCTTACCAACTGTGAGCTTATCTAATATCACACTAGATACTCCTTTCATACCAGACGATACATCCTGCTTGGGCGTCGACTGTGGTTTCGATCCGCCTAGTTCACTCGTTGTAGGTGCGTTTTGAATCAATTCGTCTGGCTCTGTCTGTCTGTTATTAGTGAAACCAGACTCCCACATGTCATTCGGTGGCTGGCATTTATCTGTAGACAGGCAGTAACCGATTGAATTTGAGCTATACCCCTCACCAAGATGCACGCCACAAAAGGCTTGCATACCTCGATCGCAACCAGCACATTTGTGTACACCACCCACTGGGTGCGTTGTAGTACATCCTTTCGCACAACAGCGTTCCATTGTAGTACGTACTCTAGTGTATGTATTATAGATAAAGCTAACGCCAAGCTGAGGTGAAAGGTGAAATATTCACACATGAAAACCTCCAAGAGCAGGCTGCAGGACCGGCCTAAAAAGACCTGACTCATATATAGGGGGTTGGCCAAAATTGAAATTGGACATACAAAGAGGTAGACACCTTAAAGAGGTGGACATATAAAGAGGTATGACTGTATTGGAGGAATACTTAAATAATGGACATTATATATTCAAAATCAATGATTATTTCTTTCTAGAGAGGAGAGGCTGAGAGGGTCAATTAAAAAAATTGGAAATAAATCCCATAATAAAGAGCATAACACTTGCCATTGTACGACTCACAAAACAGTCACGTGAAATTCGATTGCCTTCCAAAATTCAAATACAGTTGTAGACTTGTTGTCGACGCTTGTTGAATGTAAATATGTCGAAGGATAAATAGCGCACGCTTTGAACTTATAATCGCATAACGTCATTTCAGTACCGCAGTATAGTATAAACCATGGCTACCGTTGAGAATCAGTCTATTGTCAGCAAAGTACATGCCCTTCCGGCCGTAAACTCTGTGACGGCCATTAGCCTGTCGTACTACAATCGAGTGAAGGAGTACAATAACTACACCACAGGTGCCGCCACTTTTTTGGAACGCGTATTGAATCGGGCTTACGAGATTGTCGCACCGCTCCTTCAAAGTGAACGCATTCAACATGTCGACAAAGTGCTGGGATCTTATTTCGACAACTTTGTTGCAAGTCACCCACACACACAGGACTCGTTAGAGTCGTTAACTGACAATGCTAAGACTACGATCCATAATGCAACAGACCAGCTTGGACATGCCAAAGACGATGCTATGTCTGCCGCAGCTCACAAGAAGGACGACATCATGCATGCCATCGAGGACGCCGAGGATATGATGTTGAAGAAGAAAGACGAACTGGTGCACAAACTCAGTCCGCAAATGGAACGCCGTGGCACCACGTTCGATCTAAAGGGAGAAGATGACAATTAAGAGAATGTGCCATACTTCAGGTACATTGAATAACTACGCATATTTTTTATGATACTATAAATATAATAATAAATTGGAGACGGCAACTCGGGAAGTTCAAATATTTTGGAATACGTACAGCTGGTTATCAGGTCACATAAGTGTAGTGAACAGGGTCGTGCACACGTCAGGTAGTGGTTGAGGGCAGATTGTGTCCGTCCTGAGCGAATGGCCGGTCCAAATGAATATACTTTTCACCAACTAGTGCATCCTACTCTTTCGAAGTATAAACGTTAGCGTGTATGGCTACGCACAACTTAATTTTTAAGAATAAAATAAAGTTGATACAATTCTAGCTTTGTATAAGTATCTCAATTCAGTCCGTCCAGGCTCTCATGTCACTACGAAATAAGCATGCAATAAGATGCAAACACGAAAAAATACAGTCACGGATATCGATTTCACATTGGTGTTTTAAATTGGTTATCCGATATAACCAATGTCACGAGCCAATCTAAACCACATTGAATCCAATCTGTAGGACGAACTGATGAATTGTGATTTGACAATGCTAAAAATTGCCGTAAACAGCCTATATATAATACATGTCTATATGTTTATATACATACATAAATATATATATATATATATATATAATATATATATATATATATATATATATATATATATATATATATATATATATATATATATATACTAGTATGTATATGTGTAAATGTATGTATATATTGATATGTATTTATATATAAGTGTGTGAGAGAGAGAGAGAGTGCGTGTGTGTGTGTATTTATGTATGTGTACGCGTCTTTGTATATGCATATAACTATATGTATATATATATATATGTGTGTGTGCGTGTGTGTGTGTGTGTGTGTGTGTGTGTGTGAGAGTGTGTGTGTGTATGTGTGTGTGTTGTGTGTGTGTGTGTGTGTGTGTGTGTATGTGTGTTTGTGTGTGTGTGTGTGTGTGTGTGTATGTGTATGTATTCATATAAACATGGTAGCGTGTTTGAGGATTGGTCCTGGGCAAAAAAAAATAGATTGATACTGAACGTTTTTTGTTGTACACTCCCAATTCTGAGTGCCATTGTATTCAAATATTTGTACATTACTGTACAGCGCTCGTACGACTGTCAGCGGTATTGCTATACATCTGGTATTCGGTAGTCTGTCGTTTGTATTCTGAATTGCACCTGTGAGTAATTTAAAACTACCTGTTTGTACGTGGATTTGTAGAAAAGACTGCTCATATATATACGTGTGAGTATGGAATTCAAAACTTGTCTTGTGAACATACGATACTATTTTGACTTCAGCTAAATATCACATGAAGTTTAGAATATGAAGCAACGGTCGAATTGCATATGTTTACTTTGTTTTCAAGAATATAAGTTATAAAAATTATAATGGTTGTTTTCAGACTTTTGGTCCGGTCATAGAACGCAAAATGCCAAATTTGACCTTGATATATGAACTGTGAAGCGATAACTGACTAATCATCATATGCAGACCCAAGATATCACAGCAAAAAAGTCTAGTACCAGCTGTCATTCTGGATTTTGCTTCTAAAAACATTTGCATTGCCTTCCTGATTCGAGGAATTCTCGAAATCGATTTTTGCCCAAGACCAAGCTATACTTTAGCTTAACTGGCACCATATGGAATGGTTGTGCGTGCAAAATTTAGAAGAGAATTGCTCCCTGAACATCTACTGTCGGACCACTAGGCATTGTTTTCTTGAGTTCTAGCATCTTCACTGCCCATTTCCATAATGCTGCTTTGTGCTCGTTTTGGACATTCGCATTGAACTGCAGTTCCTCTAATGAGTCTGCTTGCGTCGCTATTTCCTGAAGTACAGACTCGGCTACTTCCCATCTCTGTTGTACATGATAGTTTCTAAGCAGAGAGTGGAAAGATCGGAGGTCCAAATTAGAGACTTTTTGCATATTCCTACTGTCGATGTAAACCATTTCCGGCTCATCAATGGCGTCAAAAAGTTTGTTTAACATTTGCCATCGCGCTGAAGAGTTCTTCACGCCATAGCCGATTATAAACCTGCTATATAGAGTTACGTCATCAATTCGAAATCGATTTCGCACGAATCCCATCTCGTACATATCGAAGGCGTCATCGAATAGACTGTCATTGATCTGTCCAGTCAATACCGCGACGCATAGGGGCTGCAAACTTCTGGCCGAGTGATTTTTTTTCTCTTTTCGTAGCAACTCCATTGCTTGATTTGTCGCGCCCCCATTGCAAAGAGCAAGTGCGTAGTAAACCAAAGTGCTCATGAGAGGCTTTTGCTTAAACTTTGTTTCCAGTTCAAACATCAACTCAGTAGCTTCTTTTGCTTGCTTGCCACGTACGGCACACATCAATATTGCTGTTTGCAACAATATTTGCACATCTACACGGGAGATACTATCCTCCTTTGACACCAAACTTGCACCCTGGTCATCGACCATTTTGAGTTCGGCTTCCTTCTGTGAAGTGATCTCCGCCAAAGTATTCTGAAGTAGTTGGCTGAGTTTCTCCTTTTGGCCTCCTTCGGCGTAGGCCCGAAGCATCCAATAAGTAGTCCTATAGTTAAGTTGCACCTCTCCCAATCCAGTAACCTGCTGCAAAATTCCTTCTGCAACCTGCAAGAACAAAAATGTACATTTAAAATTTTTTTGCTGGTAGCGCTATATTTGCGAGCAGCTCACTTGCTACGATGAAGTAAACAATCAATCACGTCAAGCGTCCGCGAATAGTGAGAACCGATATATTTACGGTAGTTCTCATTTACGCAATCTGAATGAAGCTTGCCAGGTACAGATTTATACATACGAAATCACACACCTCCCACTGTCCACGTAAGGCCAGAGCTTTGATAGCGATGGTATAAGTCGTCGCCGTGGTCGGCCCGATTTGGCGGTCATTTATATCATCCAGTATATACATAACCATCTCCCAGTTACCACTATTAGCGCACGCATTCATGATCGCGTGGTAGGCATCCAGACCAGCCGGCTGTTACAATTGTTAATATTGCTTAAGTATATGATATTGTGGTGGTGTGCTAGCGAAACATGGCCCAGGTATAAGTAGAAAGCGTACACAAAGCTAATTTGAGTAGACTTACGTTGATTAAATCAGCACAAAATAGGTGTGACCATACAATATATTTTGCGTTAAAATATAGTTTAACGAGTCCGAATTGCAAGATATATGAACAACTGTTCCAGCAGAATATCATATATTGTTCACCCGCATGACCTCTTCCCGTGAAACATATGTAACAATTAAACACCACAGTGCAGGCCTAAAGTGCATTTCTCAGCGTACCTTTTCCCCATTTTGCAAGTGTCGGAAAATGACCATAGCTTCTTCCCACTGACCAGCGCGTCCACACGCCTTGATAACAGTTTCATACAGGGAAACATGCGGTTTTTTTCTTCTTCGCGATAGGCTTGACAACAATGTTTGGGCGACGCGCCTATTAATACAGCAACAGACATACAACTGGATGTTGAGAACATAATTGTAAACTAAGGCCGAATTAGAACGCTACAATAGAATCTAGCAGCAACAATACAAGCAATCCCTCAAACTGAGAATTCGACGTGAAACTCTTACACCAACAAATCTACCTCATATATCCATAAAAGTAAGGCCACGGCAAATGGCGACCCAGTTTTGGGAAGAATTAAACCCCGACTTACCATTCGCCAGCACGCGCACACTCGCTAATCGCATGATTGTACAACATCAGATGCGGTCTGATACCTATCACTTCCTGTTGTTTTAGCATCATCACTATTTCTCTCCAGCCAGAAGAAGATTTTCCTATGTGTGACATGCGATGGACTAACGCCCTTTCCACAAACGAAAGCTGTTTGGGTTTCTTCTGCTTTGAATCAGACTTGATTTTGGTCTTCAGCTTTGTCTTTGCTTTTGACTTTGTCCTCGGTGAAGACTTTGTTGTGGCTGACGCCTGTCGAGTTGTCAGAATCAGCGGATAACGTGAGCTATAGTTTTCACCAGGATTTACTGGCTTAGTAAAAAGATTTGAGCCGAGAGTTTTCCAGTAAGTGTGCACTTGCCGCCTACTGAGACTTTTGCTGTTTAGGTCTACAGACCCATAGTCGATTGGCTTGTATTGTAATATAGTTCTCGAAGATAAAGGGTTTTTGACTGCGATATGATAATTTTCTGTATTCTGCCACCTCTTACAAAAGCAGGATGTCATAACTGATCGTTTCACGCGTGTACTCGCCAAGCCTGATGAGACAATCCGCCTTCTGTAACGCGTACAATCGAGTGAAAAGGAAACATTGCTACTCGAAACAAGCAAGTTGCTTTTCAGACTCCGTCTAAATGTATGTCCTAAGAACATTTCTGTCACAATGAGGTCAAATGATACGGCAAATAACACCTCAGGACGCGCTACGAGCACACAAGTGTAGAAATACTGCTTTAGTCGGTGACTCGCTGTTTCTTTTATTTACGCGGTGTCAGAATAATATATATATAAAAATACTGTACTGTCTGCAGTCGAGCGACAGTGTGCTTGTCTACACAATCGAAATTTCAACAAAAAAAAACCATTTATTGAATTATCGGGGGTGAGAGCAATCGGCACTTTGAGTGAACTTGTGAAGCCTTGTCAGTGTGTCGTGAGTTTATCGCCGATGACAAAGTTCCAAAGGCGGTCAGTCTGCTTAAGGCCGTACAAAGCACGCTTGAAATTAAACACGGTCCCTGGATGATAGTGATCTAGTTCAATAGCACCTTTCATGGGGTGCATATATACTGGCGTGTCGATTGTACTGTAGAGCGAGGCTGTATCAACGTAGAAATGAGACTTTGTCGGATGCGAGAGCTGTCGCAATATAAAGGCAGAGACAACTGCGGATGCAGCAGGTGCGCAAGTGTCAAAGCAAGAGTCGTCTTTCTATGTTCTCAACACGTGCGACCATCCATGCTTCGTTTGTGGTTGGGTGGCCAAGCCCGTCGAATTTGCGGGTAAAAACGTACTTGGGGTTTCTTATTTTGGCAATTGACGGTACCTGGTGAGCTGGAATGATGCTAGGTTGTTGCGAACACGAGCGTCATGCTCATTTGTGATGGCCGCCTGCCAAGAGGCCAGTTAGGAAGTTACATGGCTGCAGGGATAGATTTAGGAATACTGTCATCGAGCATGGATGCCATTTCAAAAAAGTGTAATTTTGAACCGAGTGTTAGGAACAATATATATATATATATATATATATATATATGTGTGTGTGTGTGTGTGTGTGTGTGTGTGTGTGTGTGTGTGTTATACTATATATATATATATATATATATGTGTGTAACAGATTATTATATATATATGTACATATGTATAT